CCTCCCCACTGGACTGGGCCAGAGCAGGTCACAAGAACATCCCATCAGCTCATCCATAAACACTTCAGTCTAAATCTCTACCAGAAAAAAATTCTTTTTGTAAAACACTCATCCATAAGACAGTTATCACACTTGAAAAAAACTTACAATGTCTTAATATCATCTGGTATCCAGGGTTCACATTTCCCCTGTTGTTCCATAACTGTCTTTTTATAATTGATTAGAATCAGAAGCCAAAGTCCATATATCCCATTTAGTTGATATGTCCCAAAAGTCTGTAACACTTGCCCCTCCGTTTTTTAGTATTGCATTTATTTATTGAAGAAACTGGATCATTTGTCTCACCATTTTCCTACATCCTGAGTGTAATTGCATCCCCAGAGCGTCATTTAACGTTTTTCTCTGTCCCCTGTATTTCCAGTAAATTGGGTAATTTTTAAATGTTTTTGGGTTTTCTTTAGCAGAGAAGAAATTCAAAAAATTTGGAAATACGCAAGCAAAACACCTATTGACATATTCCCAACCCGCTGTAAATTGTTTATCATCCACTCAGACTACCCTATTCATTGAGTGTAAGGAGATAAAAAGAACTAAAAACTTGTCTGCTTTGGGGACGCTTTATAGCACATTAATAACAACATTTGTGCATCACTTTATTGTTTATAAAACACTTTCATCCTTTAATCCTCTCAGCCACAGCAAAAAGTAAAAATTTTTCATTCCAATTCTACGGATGAGGAAACATAGCTTCTACCTCAGGCCTCTGACTCCTGTTCCTACATCCTTGCCCCTTACCATGTGGCTGCTTGTCAGGAAGCTGAATGAGATCATTTGAAACAATTTGTAATTAGATACTATGTGCCTTTGAAAAAAATAATAGGACACATTTTAATTTCTGACTTTAAAATTCCCCACACCTTCCGCCTTCTCATTTCCACACACACTTGTCCCCACCCTAATGTTCTCTTTAATCATTTTCATCATCTCTGTTTCTTAGTTTTACCATTGGGTCCCCTTTTCTATTTGCTTAGAACCCCATATCAGGTTATCAGTCCGCAGTTCATTTTTACCCAGTGAGGCTCACAAACCTATGTGTTGTCAAACAATCTCAAAAAGAGACTGGAGGCTTTGGCTAGAAATGAATGATAAAGATTTATTCAAGGCTCTTAGTGTTTGCAAACTGAGAATACAGCTAGGCAAAAACTCAGAAGTGTTCCAAAAAAAAAAAAAAGGTAAGTTAAGAGTTCCTAAAATTCTGCATTCTTAGCCCTAGGATTGGTCCAGGACGGTTGTCAGTCAGATGTCAGGCGGTCTGGGTGATGAATGCCAGGTTGTCTCAAGGATGGGGGCCAGGAGGGTCTGGTCACATCCGGTGGTCTGGATACATGAGTCCTTCAGGGGGGTAATAAGAGGGTTATCTGGAGGTCTGGTATATATCCAGATGAATATCCAGACATTGACCCAGGACTGGAAAGTTGAAAAAATTTAAGTTTCCAGGCTAGTAAAGCAAGAATAGAGTCTTTCCTCATGCCTCAGCCTTCACAATGTTAATCATTTTAGCAGCTTGATTAAAGTGACTCCATTTTATATATTCCCTGTCTTCACTCTTTCTTTAGTATCTTTGCCACTAGATTCCTGGTAGATTTAATTAGTGGATACTTGAAGAGCAGTGTGATATTTTGGAGTGGGAGCATACTTTGATGAATAACAAAAGGTGAAATTGTGTCACACAATTAGGGCATAAAATGGTAAAATTAAAGTACTAATTGTGGAAGCCCATTGGGGATAAAAAGCAGAAGGAAGTTAGAAGTAGAGCCTGGTTGATCCCCTTTTCTCAACTAGAGAAGCTGAACATCAAGTTCTGACCATATTCTGTCATCAGCATATGGGAGGTGGGAGATACAACCAGAGAAAGTACCAGGGTGCAGGAAAGAAGCAGCAGCAAGTTGTCCAGTCCCCCTCCGTTAAAATAAGTGGAACGGTGCCCTGACACCTGGGTGACAGAGGAGGCCACCCAACCTCCATGAAACCTTAAAATACATGCCTTTCCTAGCCTGCTGTCAAGGAGCCCAGTTAACCTCTTGGAGTCTGAGCAGGTTTGCAAACTCTCCTCCCTAAGTCCTATTACAGATTCTCTGCCCTGACCAGGGAGAACCCTGCATGAGGCCCCCATCCTTCCTGGACCCCGTAGACCAGGGCTGGACCTTAGGGAGGGTGTTAGATCACTCCAGGGGGACAGTTCTCTTTTTGTCTCTGAGAAATGGAATTCTTGGTGTACAAGAATTGAGACAACAGACCTAAGGAATCATTTAAATATGGACCTTAAGAGTTGACACTATATGCTTTCATATACGTCATCCCTGATTCTCCGTCCTGGCTGCCATTCAGAATTATCTGGGAACTCCTAGGATGCCAGGGCCCCCTCCGGAACAAGTCATTCTGAATCTCTGGGTCTGGGGCGACTTCTAAAAAGTGTCCCCTTGACCTGCCCCGTGATTCTAATGTGTAGTCATGGATGATTACAAGGAAAATTATGTCCTTCTCTTCACTGGGCTGCAAGAATCTTAAGGCATTTCTCATCCTGTGCAATAGATGGGTTCTAGAAGAGTTAAGCAACAAATTTTATCTCCTGGCAGGCGAAAAGCCCTCACTAAAAACAAAATTTGTGGCTAGCAGTCTGCCTTATAAAAACAAAAGGAATCAGTCAGTTACTAGTGGTTTCGCGTAAATAAATAATTCTGCTAGCCCTTTGAAATATCCCTTTTAAAAGCTGCTTAATACTCGTATATCGATCAGTGGTTTCTGCAGCTTTGCTTTCCGGGCCTCGGGTTTCTCATGAATGATAAGCACCGAGGTTCCCCAGTGAGCAGACGTTCCCGAGGGTGCAGTACAAGGCTGGCATGTGGAGGAGGGCAAGGCAGGACCTGCTTCAGGAGTTTTTCTGGCAGGGGACCTCCTCTAAGCCCAGCGTGCAGCAGCTGCCACTGGACCTGCCCCCTCCGCCCGGCGGCATTAGTCAGCATATTTCGGGGTCTCCGGGTTGCTCGTGGCGCCACCTGCCGGGAGACGCCGGGAGCTCATGAGGCTGCGGCGGGGCGGGGCGGAGCAGGGCGGGGCGGGGCGGGGCATCAAAGGTACTGACGTTCCAGTACCGAGGGAGTGGCTGCCTGGGCGTCCATGACAACCGGCTCCAGGGGAGGGTTTCCGCTGTTTGCCACTGGCCAATGGCAGGGGCTGTGACGGTGCAGCCTCTGAGACGCCGGTGCTCATTGGACAGGCTCGACTCCTGTCCCTGCAGCTGCAGTGCGGGCGGACCAGAGGGACCAGAGTGCGGCTGGCTGGCCTGAGCCGCTCCTCTAGGAAGGGTGGGCGGGGCGCCGTTCTGGGGCAGTTGGGTGTCAGGGGAGGTGGCCTGAAAGCCCGAGAGGAAGTGCTGGTCAGGTGGTGGCCTGAACGCTTTACCCCAACTGCTCCGCCTTGGGGCCGCGCTTAGCTTGGTGTAGTCGGCTGCGTTCCTGAGGCCCCAGCTAGGCGGCCTTTGCAGGCGAGTCCTCTAGCTGCCCTTGGGCCGTGCACATTGGTCGGTAGCCCTGTGCAGTGAGGACACTTTTACTAGTTTTTGTCGTTTCGAATGTGAAAGGTAATTAAAGGTTGATGAAGACAAGGGCTAAACAATGCTCATTTGGGCATCCAGTGCCACCTCCACAGAAGCTGCCGGGTTAGCACTTTACATTCCCGTCTCCCCTCACCGAAAAAATGTTGTTACATTGAGCTATGATTCAGCAGTGTTGGGGAAGATTTACAAAATAATGTGTGAAATATGTCAAAATATGAAAATGTAAAATGCAAATGTGTGTTACCCATCAGCAGTCATTATCCACAGATAACCAGGTAGACCTTTGGTCTATGACCTTCAAATACACACGGACAGTTTTTCTTTTTACAAAGCAGGTATCGTACCAGACCTTGTTTTTGGTGCTTTCCTCCCCCAGGCCCAAATACATTATGAGTATTTCCCCACTGCCGGTGAATATTCAGTGTCACACCTGTTACTAGGGACTGGACCCATCATAAAATTTACCACCAGTCCCCTAACTGTTGGCTACTGGGATTAGCTGTGGTGATCACCACTGTGCTGTGTGGCCACCTTTGCAGATGTGTGTATCTCTGAGATCCCTTAAGGGCAGGGCATTGCTAGTGAAAAGGAGGGGACCAGGAAGCCAAGGTCCCCCACCTTCCACTGCGACTGGCCTTTTGGGGGAGGGATCAGCAGCTCCCTAGTGCTGTGTGTAAGGCCTGTGATTTCCTCTGGGTTCCAGTCCTGATTTAAATATCACTCTCAACCTCTTCTGTGAGATGGGGTGACAGATAACCCCTTCACCTACAGGTTGGTTAGGAAAGTTGAGAAAATGTCGGTGAAAGCATGTTGCGAACTCCCCAGCCCTCTCCAGGTGGCATCATAGTTACTGTTACTGTTTGTTGTGAATTTGGCATCAGAGCCTGTTTCCTCGTCCTGTGGACTCCAGGTGCCCCAGGTAAAGAACCTGGTGCTTCTGGCACAGGGTGTCCATGCTCCCCCTGGCTTGTCTGTTTGCAGGAAGAACGCTGTGGAGCTGGAACTCGCCAAGTGCAAGGTGGACATGATGTCTCTGAACAGCCAGCTGCTGGATGCCATTCAGCAGAAACTGAACCTCTCGCAGCAGCTGGAGGCTTGGCAGGTAAGGGGAGGGGAGACAGGCTCCAGGAGGGGGCTGCGCACTCAGGCAGGCAGACTGTAAGAAGGAGAGCTTGATCTTGGAGGGTCCGAGGTGCGTGGGTGAGCAGCGACCCCCGTCTTCACCTGGTGAAATGGAGGGCTTGTGCCTCCCCAGTCCGTGGGGCAGAATGCCTGAGGGTGCTCTCTAGAGCGATGAGCCCCAGGTCGTGCTGTTTGGGGCTGTGGTGACCTCCAGGTTTGGAACTGGGGCCTCCTTCAGCTGTTAGCATGGAGGGCCCAGGAAGCCCTGTGTGACCGAGGGAAAATTCACAGGCGGATATAGCTCAGCAACCCTCAGGTTGCTGGCAGCTACTGCTCTTCCCTTTCTCAGAAGCCAGCTTCCTTTTTCCGAAGAATACTGTCCTGTGCGAGCCTGGGGAAAGTGAGTCAGTGTGTCCTTCTCTAGGACGGCTGTTTTCAGAGTCCGTGCAGCCTGCCCCATCCCAGGCCCAGCATGGGTGCCCCGGGGTTGTACTTGCTTTTCCTTGATGAGGTTAGGGTAGTACAATTTCAGGATATGGGTGTAACTCTTCACCTTGCTCCCCAAGAAATCCTAACCAGACACCTTCGGCTTTACCAAGCAAACCCCGCCGTGGAGGGCAGGCTAACGGTGACCGTTCCTCCAGGGGTCCTGCTGAGCTGGCTGCAGGAGCACTGACCCCCAAGCTGGTACCTGGCTCCTCGGCCAGCTGGCCATTCCCCAGCTTACTGCTCCTGTTCTCTTCTCTTCTCTCCTGGCTACAGTTTGCTTCCTCAGGGCTTTTTACTATCTGGCTCCTTTGGTTTCTGATCTAGTGGCCTTTCTCAGTTCCCGTATCAACAGCTTTAGTTGTACACCCCTCCTGCCTTTGAGGTGAGACTGAGCCCTCGTCCCATTCCCCCTCCCCCTGCCACCTCTTTCATGGCCCACCGTGTTCTGTGTGCCGGGGTCCAGCGTCATCTCTGTGCAGTGTGCCCTGCCATTGAGCCCCGGCCTCCGTCCTCCCATCACCATCACATCCAATGAATGCTGCATCACGTGACCCAGTACTGACAGTCTGAGCCATTTCTGACCAGCTGACTCCTGGTTTCTTGGTCCCACCTCCTTATAAATGGCTTGTTTTGCCCACAGAAGTAACGGCAGGCATGGACTTAAGAGCAGTTCGTGTATGTGTATATACTATTCTAAAATGATACATACGATCCAGGGGGTTACCTTGACAAACTTTAAAGTATCAAAATGCAGTTTGCAAGGTGCCAGAATAAACACTGGCAGCTTTGAAAGGGTTTCTTTCTAAAGAATGCTTTAACATTCCTACTGTTGTATTAACAACATAGATTTTATTGAGCATGTGCCAAGTTCAGGTGCCGAGAGGTTGAACTGGAACGCTGGAAGTATGGACTGTGTCTCCGGTTTCTGGGAGAAGGGGTGCGGGAAGGAATTTGAATATGAAGAAAGGGATGGGAGGAGAGGAGAGCAGGACGTGAGTATGGAGGGAACAACAGTTCCATACCTACCCGGTGACATGGCCAAGAAAGTCCCTTTGTTTCACACGGAAACCTGCAAACATTTGAGTGACACCCACTGGTGAGAGCTTGGGTGAGAGTGTGGGAGGTGATGGACAAGCTGCTCAGGGAGTGAGGCCCCGCCAGCCCCACTTCCTGCCGTCATCAAGCGAGTGGCTGCTCAGACCCCGCGAGGTTCGAGGCTGAAGGAATCGGGCCGATGTTTGTTAGGTTTCCCGCTGGTTTGAACAGGACAGGGCTGCTTCTCTCTCTAAAGCAGTGATTTCATACTTCGTTAGTGGCAGAATGCCTTTGTCCAGTGGGGCCTTGCACAGAATTGGAAACTAGTAACTAGAATAGAGTGGAAGCCCCTCTGGAGGAAAAGCTGTTTTGTAACGTCAAGTCTGGGCAAGTTTTCTAGGCAACTTTAACAAATTGGAAGGGGAAAGGTGCTGCCCCAGTGAGGAAGCCAAAAAGAAATGGGCCTGTGGGAACAAGACAAGCCCTGAAGATGGTGATGAGCAAGGGTGGCACCCAGGGAATCTGTCCTTGCCATATGCAGCTGCCAGTGCGTAAGTGTCAGTAGTCAGGCTGGCAATAATTTGAAGGGGGAAAAGGGGGCAGAAGCCCCGAGGCCAGGCCATTGAGCTGGAGGTCAGCGGTGGGGTGGGTGGTGGTCAGCAGTGGGGTGGGGGGTATACCAAGTGAGAGGTACAGGAGACACAGGAGGCGGGGCAGAAAGGGCCAGGCACTGGTGTGGGGCCGGTGGCCGAGGTGGACAGACAGGGAGGTGTCAGCAGTAGCCGTTCTGTGGACCTATAGAGAACAGACCATATATGGGGTCAGCCCAGAGGGAATGCTAGTGAGGAGAGGCGAGCCCAAGCCCTGAGGAGACTGGAGGGCTCACGTGGCTCGTGTGTCCTGGTATTGCATCTACACCTGCTTTCTTGGTCAGGGCAACCCTGCCTGCAGCCGCTCATTCATCTCATCCCTCATCCTCATCTCCCGTCCTTGCCTCCCTGCCCACCCCCAGCGCCAGGTCAGTGCCCCGCTCAGCCCCCTCCGCTCTGCCCTCTGCAGGATGACATGCACAGGGTCATTGACCGGCAGCTGATGGACACGCACCTGAAGGAACGGAGCCGGCCTGCTGCTGCCCTCTCCAGGGCCCACGGCGCAGGGCGCGGGGACGAGCCCAGCACCGCTGAAGGCAAACGGCTCTTCTCATTCTTCAGGAGAATTTAAGTTGGGAGGAGTCCGGCCAGTGAGAATGGGTGGACTGGAGGCGACTGAAAGGGGGTGCAAGTGAGAACCCAGGGTACAGTGTTTGCATGCAAGGGCCCCCTAGGCCGAGCCCAGTGGCTGCACTGCCCACCCACATGGGGGCCCGAGTTGTCCCGGAGGGCCTGCTGGCCTCTGGAGTCGTCCCTCCACACAGGGACAGGCAGGCACCCTGTCCCCACCGCCCAGCCAAGCCCGGCCTGGGCTCCCCAAGGATCTGCTGTTGAGCAGAGCTCAGGCTGCCTCCAGAGCGGCCCACAACACACCCGCCCCTCGGTGGCTCCCCGTGCCCAACCCCATGCGCTGCTGCCCTCCTGTTGTGGAATTTGGGGGACAGGAGAAACGGAGGCCCTTTCTGCATGCCTCAGGAGGCTGTTGCTGCCCCCAAGTGGCCTGAGCCTTGGGGGCCTAGTCCTGCAGGGCATCGAGCCCAGGTCTGAGATCCATCCCTCCCCAGTCCCTGACCAGGGAGTAAGGGGAGGTGGCCCCTCACCCACATGCATGCACCACTGCCAGGAGCGCCTCTGTGGGCAGGAGACCCAGCCCTGATGGCTGGGGCTGTTCTCAAGTGCTCAGCCACAGTGGGTCTGGCGGCTGGGCTGTCCTGAGCCCGGACGAGGAAGGGCCTGCCCCCTGGGCGCCACGGCTCTCCCTCCTGGCCTCCGCCCAGGCCTTGGCGGGCCTTCCCCTCTGCAGACTTGAGTCAGCCAGCCCTTTCCCCGTTGTGGGGCCAGGGCTGCGAGCGGGGGTCTCATCCTCCTCGCACAGCACCCCCTGCTTGCCTCACATATACAAGTGCTTGGTTCAGCCAAGCAAGTCCAGGCCAGAGAATGGCCCCAGAGGGGTCAGCGGTCAGCCAGCTCCACCTCAAGGGCAGCGCTGTCACACGGGGTGGATGCCTGCAGATTCTGCCCACCAGGCCTGCAGGATAAGCCCCCCAACCTGCTGCTTCTGTCCTTGATCCTCAGCAGCCACTCCACCTTCCCTGCTGAGGCCCTGACTCTGAGGCCCCTGGGCTGAGCCAGCCGCAGGCTGCTTCCCAAGGGCCACCCACCCCCCTCAGCTGGGAAAGCACAGCAGGGATGAGCAGAAAGAATGTGCCTGTAGATATGTACATACCACAGTGCTGTAATTTTGTATGTAGCAATCATGTAAATACACGTATGGATTTTATAATATACATATTATATATAAATCTATAAAGGCATATTTTTAGAAAAACAGCGCACCACTGCTTCTTTTGAAAATAGTCTAAGAATAAAATGAATTTCTACAGACCTTCTCGCCTCAGTCATTGGGTCCCTGGAGGGGTGGTTTGGTCGGAACACAGCTTACCTTTCAGAATCGTTCCTGGCTGGCATGAAGGGGCAGCAGTAGTGAGTCCCCCCACGCACCTGGGAGGTCACCTCATACACTGGGACCCAACCAGCCGATTCTGCCAGGAGGGGCCCCCCTCTCCTGGAGGGTGGAGATGTCCTGTCAGTGACAGCTGTTTTGGGAGCAGTGGCCAAAGGCGCCGCCTTCCATGCCCACCCGGGCCTGGGCTCCCTGCCAGTGGTGCAGTTGCCCAGCCACAGGCAGGCCCTCGCGGCACTGCTTCCCAAGCCTTGGCAGAAACTTCAAGCCAGAAAGAAACCACTAGAGGCAAAGCTTCCACTGCATCCTTCCGGGCACGCAGAGAATAAACACGGCACTTCCCCTGGCATCTTACCACGTGCGCTCCTGGCCAATACGTCAGACCGGAGCAGCTCAACCTGGACCGACCCTTCATGGAGAGAATGAACTTGGCTTCTAAAAGTGTCCCTGGGACTCAAGAGGCACCTGTGCAGGACTCGGACGAGAACAAACAAGAGCTGGACACAATGGGGGGAAGAAGGCAGGCCCACCCAGAGCACAGCTGGAGGAGAGGAAACAGACCCTGAAGAAAATTTGGCAGCTTGAACCTTTATTTTTAGTCCTTTTTTTAAAAAGCATAATTAGAAACTTTCAATACAGAAATAATCCTAGCAAACCATTTAAAAGTTTTGTTCAAGAGGAATTTCACATCAGGTCCACCAGGACGTCGGTCCATCCCTGTGCGCCCCCCACCCCCACCCCCCATCCATGCGTACTAACACAGCGGGACAGGCACACTGTCATCACCAAAGTTACCCCACCACTGGGTCTGGGTCCAGCTGTCAGAAGCCATGATGGTTTCTAGCCTGGGCTGGCAGTGTCCAGGACCCCCCTCCTCTTATTGTTTGAATTTGCAAGCACTGCCACACTGGCATCACCTTAATGCTCAGAATAGTGTGCCGTCCACCCTGGGAGCCCCGGGCCCTGCGCATGTGTGCAGGACCCATGATCAACCAGGATAGTCTGAGGACAGAGACCATGCTTTTGCCCCTGGCCCCCCAACCAGACAAGGCTGCCTACCAGCTGGCCCTGCAGCCGCCCTCCACAGCATCGCCCTCCCAGGCCACCTCTTCCAGTGACTCCAAAGTGAGGGCCTGTCACATGGAACCACGATGTTTTGGCAGTTTGGGGATGTGGAGAAACAGGTCAGAAGAGAAACCCCCAGTTCTGATTGATTAAAAACCCACCAAGTGTTAAGGTGGAAAATCTGCAACGTGATCTGTGATGTGATTGTCCACTCAGGGCTTCTTCACCTGGTAATCGCATAGGAAAGGAAATCGAAAATGCATCATGGTGTTGAAATAAATTATCCCAGGTTACATGATCCTTTTAGGGGAAAGGTGAAGTGTCCCGCGGCGGGAGGGAAGGGGACAGTATAATCAAGTGCAGATAACCCTGGTTTTTCCTCCACGGGACCAAGGGCGGGTCAAAGCTGGCTGGTTCCCAGCCCCACCTGCTAAGAAATCCTCATGCTACCTTTGTCCTAACACAGTCCTGTCAGTGATCCAAGGCAAGGCTGCCTGCCACCCAGCGCCGCGGCATCGTCCCCACAGTCCAGCAACCAACAGCACCCACCCCCACATTCAGAGGTGCCTTGGTGCTGCATCAGAGACCCAGGAACTCAGTGGGAGGCCCTGGGCTGACACAGACAAGGGCGAGAGGCCCCTTCTTTCCCAAGAAACGTCCAGGAAGGCAGAGCTGCTGCTGTGCCAAGAGCCCGGCCCCACAATGACAGGAAGCCATTCACTTTTTCTAAAAACACTGGACTCAAAGCAAGGAGGCTACAACTTTTGCTGCTGTGCCAACCAAACCTCAGGAAGGGGGGGGGGGGAAGTGTGAGGGACTTAATTAGATTGATTTGGCTTCATTTTATCTGTTAAAAATCACACTCCTAAGCCCCATCCCTACATAAACACACCCTACCTTTCTGCCGGAACTGAAACAGGTCGGTATAAACAGAAGCTATGGCTCCCCTGGGTTTGTAGCTCAGAGGCGTCTAGAAGGCAGGACAAGAAATCTGTTGGCCAAAGGGCAGGAGTGATCCTGCGGAACTGAAGGGCTGGGCCGGCCTAGGGCAGGGCCTGTAATAGCAACCCCGGGCCTACCTCAAGGCCAGGCTTCCCCAGCTGCCAGAATGGTTAGGGGTAGGGGTGGGGATGGAAGGGAGCGGGGCTGGGCACAGAGATGGCACAGGCCCTGGAGACGGGCGAAACCCAGGGACAGAAGTTGACGACGGCCTGCAGGAGAGAACAGGTAACATGGAGCCCACGCCACCAGCCCAGGTCGGCAAAAGACGTGGCTAGAACACAATGCTGATCCTCAGGAAGCTGCTGGCGGTAAGATGGGATGGGGAGGGGAGGGTCTTTTGCAGCAGGCTGGCATTAGGGAAGCAAAGCCAGAGCAGGACGAGGGTGACGCGATGGTTAAAGCAATATACATTATGTACAAACTCTGGTTAATCAGTCCGCTCGGCTGGCAGCGTCCTCGCTGGGCCCAGGCGCCTTGGCCAAGGGGCGGGGGCACCAGAAGGGAAGGGCAGGCTGTCCAACACCTTCTTGGTACTCGAGGGGGAGGGGAGGAAGTGCCGATGGCGCCTCCAGATACAAAAACGTGGAGAGAATTCTTTAAATAACGGCATGAAACTGAGACTGTCCCCCAGGAGCCCGTGGGCCTCGGGCCGGGGCGTGGCCGCAGTGCAGTCTCTGCAGGGGGCTGGGTGGGGCATTAGCAGCAGCGTTTCTTTCGTTTATTGTTCCTTGTGAGCTTCACCACATCGTTCTGTTGTTGCTGCTGCTGTTTCGCTAAGTTGTCTTTCTTTGCTCGGAGGACCAGCTCTGTGATGCAGTTGAACATCTGCGAGGAGGAAGGAGGCAGGGCAGGCCTCAGACCTGGTGGGGCGGCCACCTCACGGCTGCGCAACCGTCCCAGGGCCCAGCTTTCTATTTGTACTATGAATTTTTTTGGTATGTATGTCCTCAAACCCTTTCTAGAAGGAGGTGGGAAAGTATAAAGGTCAAAGAGGAACAGCATCAACGACCAATGAGCTGTGTCCTGGGGAAGTCGATCTCAGAATTTTCCCGTCTTTTCTTTTAAAGAGGAGGAACGAACCCATTTCCTTTAGCTATAATCTTCAGATAAGACACATAAAGGTGCCCCTGCTCTGGTGACAGGCTAAACGGACCCAGAGCCTGCCCACTGCATGCCACCTCACTGCACGTCCCGCCTAGAGCCTTCCCCAGACCACCCCACGACATCCTTGCGATGCCAGTGTCCAGTGGAACCCACCTACCACCCCACAGTCCTGTCCGTCCCTCTGCTAGGAAATTACCAAGCACTTGACAAGTAGCTGCTGCTTCACAACCCGGGAGGCAGGGACTCAGCCCACCCCAATGTACAGAAGGAACAGATGGAGCCTGGAGAGCTAAGTCTCCGCCCAAGGTCACTCGGAACCCACCCAGGTCCCCAAGCAGAAAGGCGTGTATTGTGATCCTAACCCTAGCCCGACTCGGAGGCTCCTGGGGTCAAGGACCCAGTGAGGATCCGAGCTTCCTTGGGCCTCTGGACTCCACATACCACAAGGCAGGATTCCCCCCAAACCCTGGGTGTGGCCCAGCTTTTGTCCCACAGACTCCCGCCTGCTCTCCAGCAGGCCCAGGGAAGGGAAGGGAGGCTGCCGGGGGCTCCGCAGGCTGCGGGGCTGTGTGGCCCACTGCAGGGGCTCACCTGAGAGCTGGAGGCCACAGGGAAGGAGGCCAAGGCCCCAGGGAAGGCCAGAAAGCAGGAAGAGGGGACAGTAGTGGGGCCAGGGCAGGGACAAGGAGGCGGAGGACTGAGTGGAAACTCTGCGTGGCTGTGGCTGAGGTCTACGTCTGACTCAGCCTAGTGCAAGCTAAGTGCTATTCCTTAAGCTGGAACCTCAGCCTCCCATTTGAAACGCGGGACTAATTTACCCAGGAGCCTTGAGATATAAGACGAGCTAACACCGCTGAAGGGCCTAGCACTATGCCTGGCACACAGCCACTCAGTAGCCGGCAGTTCCTGTGACATTCTCTGGGGGCCAACGGGGTACCCTGGGCAAGACGAGCAGCGGGGAGGGGCGGGCCACGGTGGTGGTGCAGAGGGGGGCCCCACTCCCACCCCGGCCCAGGCCTCACCTCCTCCACGTTGACATTCTCCTTGGCGCTGGTCTCAAACAACTGGATCCCCATCTGCCCGGCGAACTTGTAAGCGTCTTCCGTCTCCACCACCTTCCGCTCAGGGTCATCGTTCTTATTTCCCACTTCAAGGCAAAGCAAAGTCAGCCCGGCCCTGCGGGAGCGCAGCCCACTGTCCCCACCCCGGTGGGTCCAATCTCACCTAATATTCGGCACACGTCATCACAGTTCTGGTTGATTTCGTGAAGCCACCGCTTGACGTTGACAAAGGACTCGGCACTGGTGACGTCATACACCACGATGACCCCGTGGGTCCCCCGATAATACCTGTAGGCCAGGGTCTGCGTCAGAGCTTCGGCCTACACAGGAGCAGCCCCTCGCCCGGCCCTGCCCGCCCTCGTCCAGACAGCGGCCGGGGCACTGGCGAGGGGCAAACGCTGTCCAGCAAGACCCCGTCTCCTTTCCACCGGGCCTCGCTCGCCTGCACCTTCTCGAACCGCGTCCTGGCCAGCAGGAGTGGGGGGCTCAGCAGCGCTGCTGCTCACACTTGTCACCAGGGCCCCAGTGAGGAGGGAATGCAAGGCCCCAAGGTGGCCAACCAGCTTGTTCAGGGTCTGCCACGAGCTTGAAATGTCTCTGAAGTTCTTGTTTTAATTTTTGAATTCAGGCAACTTTTGCTTTTCACATATTATCACTATCCTTGTTTTAAATTAAAAAAAATCTTTCTCCCCTGAAATCTTACTAAAATGCCATTCCTAGAAGATGTACCAAGGTCTGCACTCCCTCCCCATCCTGCCACTCCAGGCTCATCCATGCTGGTGGCAGGCAGAGCATGGAACAGCGTGGGCATGCAGGTATGACCGGGAAGAGGGCGCCCACATATGCCACCATCCAGCTGGAAGATCTGGAGGGTGTAACCATTCCCCTCCAGACACTATGTCCCCACTCATTCGCGTGAGTGCCTTCTCTGACCCCATGGCAGGTGACATCCCCCCAGAGCTGCAGCGATTCTCACTCAGAGAATTACGAGGTAAGAACCATTGCCTGCAAGGGGCCGCACTCCTGGGCTGACAGGCTGCTTCCCCCCGACATGCTGGCTGCCACCTGGCCCAGCCCCAAGCACCTCCATCCTCCTGAGGCGTAGCAGGGCCTGAGCACTCGGCCCGAGCCTGCGGGAGACCTGCGGTTCTAGGTACCAAGCTTAGCAATGATGGGGCAGCTGGGCTGGTGGGCGCAGCTGTATTCTCGTCTGCCTGCCCGTCAGCTCTCTGACTAACTCTTCACATTCAAGGCCCAACCACAGGGCAAAGGCCAACCCAGCTCCATCTCTGAAAAGGCTGTGGGACCCTGGGAAGGTCACTGCATGCACATTGGCACACCTCAGTTTCCTCAACTCTAAAATGGGGATACCAGTACTTAACTCTTGGTGTGGTTGCGAGGAATGGAGGATAACGCACATTTTCACAAGGGTGGGCGAGTAGTGAACAGTCAAGAAATGGTGGCTCTTAACCATAACTATTAATATTCTTTCAATGACAATCTGAGACCCCTGACAAAGGTGGGAGAAAACCAAGGGACGGCATGGAAGGCAGCAGTGAAGGCCGCTTCCCTGAGCTGACTACCAAGGCTGTGAGCAAGAGGAGCCTCTACTGTACTCTGGGGTCAGGGCCACTAGTCTCCCCCACCCCACTGCTCCACCCCTAAGACACCCGCTGAGATCTCCCAGGGCTTCATTCTGACCCCTGCTTTGCCCTCCCAAGGACACAGTGCCCCCTGCCTTGGGGAGCCCTAACAATTGAGCCATCTAGGCACTGGGCCCCCAGAACCAGCTCTTGGCCTGGCCCTGGCCCCCTGCCCTCCGGCAGCTGCTGCCGAGAGTGCCAGGTTACCACCACGTTACCAGCTTGGTGGACGCCCACCTGAACGGGTACAAGAGTGCAAGCCAGGAACCAGGGGGAGAGACGATTGTCCCCGGCCAGCAAAGTAAGTGTGAGCAGTAGAATGGATTTCCTTCCAAACTCTGCTTTGCTGAAGACTACTGAAGATGCCACGAAATGCCTATGGCCACAGCCCAGCACACAGCCCCCGTTGCCCTCTGGGCACCTCCACCTTCTTTGGGGCCCAGGTAAGGAAGGGGCCTTTATAAGAAAACACAGACAGGGAACTAGTCCAGGAATGAGGTTGGGGGCTCAGAGCTCCGGCAAGGAGCGCATCAGTGCCTCTGGGCTTCCTGTTAGCACTGCCACCAGTCATGACGTCCACTCACCACGCCTTACCTAGCTCTGTGCCAGGCACAGCACCCAGCGCTTTATGTCCACTACATAATCTTTGCAACAACCTGGTATGACAAACAGGAGGGTCGCCATTTTACCAGTGAAGACATGAGTGACCCGAGTAAAGTCATACAAAGTCATGGTGCCTGGGTCTGAGTCACGGAGCCTGGGTCCAGGACCAGGTATTGAAGGGGTTTCCCTTCCTTGTCACCTCTCCCTCTCACCGCGCTATCAAACACCTCACTACCTTCTCCCTAAACCCACACCCCCAGCCACATCTCTCAGGGTCAGCAAACCCCAGCGACCAAGAGACCAGGAACCATGAAAGGGTGACAAGAGGACTCTTTCTGGTCAGGCTAACAGGATGCAACTTTAGTTTCTCTTTTAATGTCCTGAACCAGAAATGGCCACACTGGTGTACCCTAACTGCCCCAACCCCTGAAGAGAACGAACTTCTGAACTAGTCCAAGACTCCTCCCTTCTTCACCAGCTACCCTCACCACGTGTCGAGTCTTTCCATGGTCCCTCAACATAGCCTGTAGTGCCTCCTGCCTCATGAGGGGCAGAGGAGGGGACACCGAGATGGAGCTACCCTCAGCATCCCCAGACAGACAAGACGGCCAGCAGGGGCCGAGCTGGTGCCCACAGGCTGCCAGCTTGCAGTGTCACCCGCCCCCTTTCTCAAGCACCCTGAAACTAACACACATTGCCTGCAGGCAGCTGAGTAGCTCCAGTCTCCCCAACAGAATAAAAGAGGCTGTTCACCCCCTTCCTGCCCCGCCCTGAAAGGAGCTGACTACATGGCAGGAGTGGGGGTGGGGGGCGGCTGTGGCTCCTCTGCTAAAACAGCCGGGGCATCCCAGGTCCCCACAGGCCCGATATTCTCGGCTGCCCCGAACTCTGTGACTGATTTTTAACCCACAGGAGGCCCTAGAGCATCTGCCACCCGCCTCGGCCCAGGTCCCTTGAGGGAGAGGGGCCAGCAGAGAGCAGGGACTGGTTAAACGAAAGACCTTTAGCATCAGACGGACCTCATTTCAACTCCTGACTAACCAACCAAGCTAAGTCACCTCACCCTCTTTGGGCCTCACTTTTCCCATCCATACAATGGAGATAACCACAGGCCTCTTTATCGGGATGAAATGAAATGAAGTAGGCAATGTCCTTAGTGACAGTCACAGCCCAGAGGAACTATATCTGGGGTCAGTGCCTTGATCTGACCAAGAGGTCTTGTTCTTGTTCAGGCCTGGACACACGGGCCCCCCACAAAGAAGTCCATGCTACCCACCCCAAGGAGCCTCTGACCCCAGCTGCCCTCTTAGGGCCTCGCTGGCAGCTGCTGAGACACACAGGGGCTCAGGCAGCTCATCAGAGGTAGCCGTAGGGAAAAAAAGAAGTTGCCACAAAAAGCTGCACAGGGCAGTCCCCGAACTGGGGTCCCCTGGGGTTTCAGGGAGTCACAGACCAGGGCGCACACGTGCTCACTGCAGGGCTAACCCAGTGACAGAAACCCACAGAAGCTGCTCGGGATCCAGCCCCTCAAACCCCTTGCCCAGGGCCGCGCCCCCTCTCCTGCCTATCGGCCCTCCCTGCCCCACCAGCTCCCGCCGGAGTCCCCCCCACACTCCCCGCCACCGTGCAGGGACTCCATCGTTTCACCTCCCTCAGAAGAGCCCGCACCAGCCTGGGGTCCGCCCATCTCCATGCTGAAGGGAGGAAAGGGCTCTCTGGCTGGGAACTTCCTCAAACACCTTCCCCAGAGCCCCCATTCCCAGGCGGACTCCTGCGGGAGGCAAAGGAAGAAGCAACGACTACGGGCCAGCCCCCGGCTCCTACTCTGCATACACCACCGTGAGCAGCTTGGGCTGCCGCTCACTGGGAGCAGGGCCCCTCCGGAAGTGCCCTGACCTGTAAAATAGGGACAATAATAGTACCGACTGTGGAGGGCTCCATGAGACCACCTGCATGAAGCCGAAGCACAGAGTACCTGGCACATAGGACTCAGCATTAAAGCAACGCCTAAAGACAGCCCTCTGGGAAACAAGCACAGAGAGTTTAGGCAGCTTGCTCAAGGTCACACAGCAGAACAGAAATGTGAATTCCGAACTGTCTGCCTTCAAAGCTCTGCTCTTTCCTGGAACCTGTTCCATTAACAGCCCAAGAACCAAGAGCCCCTGCACAGGACTCCTGCCGTCTGGAGCTCCAGCTGGGTTTTCCTGTTTGCAGCTAAGAACCACAAAGGTACTATGGCAGCAGCACAGGAGGGCAGCCTGCTGGGACAGCCGGGTTCCCAGTAACCAGCGTTAGGGAGGCCTCCTACGCACCAGTGCCCCTTCCAGGCCTCCCAACAGAGAGAAGCCAGCTCCAAGAAGTCAGGGTGGGTAATGGGAGGCTGCAACTGACACCCAGCCAGAGTAACTGCTACTAAGCGTCTGACCACCAGCTGAAGCCAATATCATCATCATCCCATTTCACAGACAAAGGAACCAAAGGCCACAGGGTAGGCTGACGGACGTGTCTGATCCTGCCAGCCCCGGAGCCAGGGTGCTCAGCCACTGCCCACCCACCGGTAGTGGCCACGGCTCGTCCCCACCTCCTCCCACATCTTCAGGAAGCAGAGGGCTCAGCCTGACACCACCCACTGTGACCTGCAAGGGGCCACCTCCCAACAGCCTCAGGGCCCACCACAGACATTTCTACCAACACCCAGGACTAGTCGCTCAAGTGTGCCCAGCTGTCCGTGGGAGGGGTCAGGGTGCGGGCCGGCCGGCCTGACTCACGTGGAGGTGATGGTGCGGAAGCGCTCCTGCCCGGCGGTATCCCAGATCTGCAGCTTCACTTTCTCCCCATTGATCTCCACAGTCCGAATCTTGAAATCCACTCCGATCGTGGTGATGTAACTGCCTACACACACACGCACACGTTAGACTGTGCCCTAAACTGCCCAGGTGACCCCAGGCTCCACAATCCCCCTCCTCCCCCCACCGCCCACTCACTCTAGGGGCCTGGCACATTCAAGGTCCCTGAATAAGAAAAGACACGGTCCCTGCTGTGTAGGATTCCAGTGGAGCCCACAGTTGAGGTGAGTGCCACAGACAGGATACAATGAAACTAAGTGGTAAAGAAAACAATTTCAAGAGGATGAGTGCCACAGAGGAAATAAAACCAGGAATGTGACTGTGAGGAGGGGATTGAATTAGAGTGGCCCAGTCACAGACAGGTTAAGCTGTGGCCTGAGAATGGTGGGAGACCTATCATACACTCTGGGTTTTTTTCTTTTCTATTCTATTCCAAAGATTTTAAATGACCCACAAAATTAACATCCTAACACATAAACAAGTCATGACCTGCAATTTGAAAAACACTGCTCCAGGCAGAGGAGACTGCAGCAAAAATAGCAATGGGGGGAGGGGGGCCACGTGAGGTCAAGCTGACAGTCAGAGGCAGGTAGGGGTGCAGAGGCCTGATCTCAGGGCCTGATTTCCACAGCTTGGACTTCCTCTTGTGTGTGACAGGGAGGCACTGAAAGGTTTCAATCAGAGCATGAGCTGCATTGTAAATAGCTCTCCTGGGGCACCTGTGTGAAAGATTGAGTTGAAGAGAACTCTTGGCCAATGGAACAGTGCTGTCCAGGCTTACAAAGGCCCGAATGCTAAGACAGCATGTTCTCACTCCATATGGCGCTTACAATATAACACAGAGCTGCAGAAAGCACGGACGGGGACACACGGACGGACACACACACACACACACACACACACACACACACACACACACACACACCACTCTCTCTCTGAAAGTGTCGAAAGTGTAAAGGTCAAAGTTCAAGGTGGGGTGGAGATCAAGGAAGGCTTTGGGGAGGAAGTCACATTCGCCTATCTTGAAAGAACAGATAAGATTTCAAAGGTTGAGATTGGGGGTGGGGGGGACAGGGAAGACACCCCACCCAGAGGAAAAGAAGGGAGGCAAAGCAGAAAGAGAAAAAGTTCAGAAAACAAGCCAGCCGCTGGCCCTCTGCGAGCCCTGGATGACGCCAAGGAGTGTGGCCCAGCACCTAGGGCTGCAGACACTCAAAGGGCTGGTGGCTGGTGGCTGGTGGCTGAGAGAGCCAGAGCATGAAACGAAACAATGACAAACAGTATGCGAAAAGAAGCTGGAAAGGTGAGCTGAAAACAGATGATGAAGACCAGTGGTTTTCAACTGGGGGTGATGGGGTCCCTGCAGCGGACATTAAGCAGTGTCTGCAGAAATTTTTGTTTGTCACAACAGAGCATGGAGGCAACGCTACTGGCATCTAGTGGGTGAAACCCAGGGGTTTTGCTCAACATCCTTCACAGAATGGCCCCCACAATACAGAACCCCAGGGCCCAGAGTGGCAACAGTGCTGAGATAGAGAAACCTTGCAGAGGCCGCTGAGGTTTCCATAGAGGGGTGCCCCTGCCGGAGGCAGGGATAGCAAGATGAATGCAGCAGTCTGGGCAGGGCTGGGTAGGAGCTGCTGTAATGCTGCAGGCGACAATCAACTAAGATACTAGTAGTAAAAACAAAAAGAGGAGAGACACTGCAAAAAACAGCCCTGGAAAGGATGGGGAGTCCGAGGGACATAAGGAGGAAGAGGAATGTTTTTCAGCATCATGAGAAGCTGTCCATTAGTTACCATTCTTGAACAGAAGGTACCAGCAACAACAAACCGCTGGGATGTACAGTGAGGTTACCGACTCCCAGGCACCCTGACTTGTAATATCGCAGGTGACCTTCTCAATACCCCTCTGTAGGAGGGACGATGCTTAGCCCCACTTTACAGATGAGGGACGTCCATGGTCACACAGAGAAGACAGCTCTTTCCACATCACACCACTGTGGTGCCGCAGAGCTACTGTCGGGAGAAACACACTTCTCCACCGAGCGAGGCGCTGGCCATGGAATCACTTCCTAATTGTAGCTCAGTCCTCAATCGCATCACAGGGAATTCTACAGTAAGTCACGTCTCATCCTGGATCAGAGAGGCCAAGCCGACACGAAGCCTGTGCAATAACCCCGATGTATTCGACAAAGGAGAACATGTCTCACTTCAGTGACCTGGGAAGCACATACTTAAACGAGATGGCACTTTTTGCCAACAGGCTTAGCAAAAATGCCTACCAGGACCCAGCTTTGATCAGCATTGGCCCAGGCACTTTAAACCCCTTCGGTGGGAGTGTCAGTTCACTTAGGGCCGCTTCTTTGAAAGCTGAGTTGAGAGTGGTGTGAAAAATGCACAGAGCCCCTTGCCCTAGTCTCCCCACTTCTATACAAGAAGAAACATACAATGTATCCCAAGAAATGCAGCACCATTGAAAAGAGAAGCAAGCAGGAAGCATGCAGGTATCAAGATCACTGGTAGTGAGGTGACCGGTTGGCTCAGTTGGTTGGAGCGTGGTGCCGGTAACACCAAGGTTGCCGGTTCGATCCCCGCATGGGCCACTGTGAGTTGCACCCTCCCCAAAAGAGTCAACTATGCCATTGTAGCATGAAAGCAATGTGTAACGAATGACCGAATGACTGGCTGTTCCCCAATTTAAAAAAAAAAAAAGGAGCAGTGGTAGTGAGTGCTGTGCACCCATGCGCGAAACCTCCAGCCACTCCAAAGAAACAGAGGTCAGAGGTCTCCCACAGCTGTGGGTGGGTGATCCTTCACAGGCTGAGGGGTAACACGCTGCTGATCCCCCCCCCATGTGGAGTTGAGAAGTGGGACACACATCTCACTGAACAGAGGCTCCCAGGGCACCAGACGGGGGAAAGGGAAGGGGCAGCTTTCATTTTTCACTTGATTGAGTCTTCCTGTTTGAATTTTACCCAGGCATGTACCAACTTGTACATTTTTTTTAACTTTTTCTTTTTTGTAAACGTTAGGGCACAAAAAAGACCCTGCGTGGCAAAAGGATGGGCCTCTAAAGATTTTTTTGAACAAGACAGGTTAAGACCGACCCGAGACTTCTAACATGTGCCTCCCCCCGCCTCACCCTTTCCCTCAGCCAGCAACCAGGACGACAAGGTTTCCGACAGTCGGCAGAGGCAGGTGTGCTCTGGCGCCAGGGAAAGGGATTTCAAAACCGAAACGCCCCAGCAGCACCCCAGGGGCACACTCACCTGAGAAAGTGTTGTCTGCAAATCGTAACAGTAAACTGCTCTTGCCCACACCTGCAGGAGAAAAAGCAGAAGATGAGAGGAGGCGCGGGTCCCCTCCCTCCAACCCAACCCTTCCTTCTTCAGGGAGATGACACCCAGGTCCTAACTCCTAAGCAGCTCAGCGGGACCCCTCTCCCTCCTCAACGCTGCTTCTGACCTCCCTAACCCGCCAACACCAAGAACATCTCTCCCACTCATCCGTGACCTTCTCCTCCGTCCTTGTGTAAGATAAGCCGCCCCCAAATGCCCCAGGGAGAGATGAGAAAGGGGCTCGTGCCCAGAGCCTGCGCCGAGGGTGAGGCCCCAGCAGCCCAGAGGAAGGTACCAGATGACAGAAATAAAGCAGGGGAAGGTCAACCAAATGATACTTGCCCCAAAGGGTGTCTAAACCATGGTCCCTAAAAACCTGCACATCATGTATGGAGCCTCAGCTTGTTTGCGGTGAGAGACGGGGCACTGCAGAGCTGGAAAGAACCCTTGAGATCATCAGGGCTATTTTGCAGGTGAGGAAACTGAGGCTCAGATAGTGTGAACCGACTGGCAGCCATCTTCCCCTGGCTGATGTCACTGCCAGCTGGATCAGTGGGGAGGGAGTGTCCGCCCAACAGCTCCCGTGGGCTCAGAGCATTTCCCTTGTCACAGCACCTCCTGGGACACCGGTTCCCAGAACAGGCAGAGCCCTGGTAAGCTGGGCTTCCCTTGACTTCCACGTACAGCAGCTTTAGCCTGCCAAGTACACCTGTCCTGTGTCCTCCTGTCCCATCCCTGCCCCCACCGCCTCTAAGGCCAGCTGGGTCAATCAACCACAGAAGGAAGGTATTAGCACGCACAGAACACTGTGTGTAGTGGGCACTCTGCTGCTGCTCCTATAATTCCAGCTGCATCTCTTAAGATGGGGCAACAGGCTCCAAAGGAGCTAAGCAGCTGGCCTAGGGGCCTCCGCAGGAAGTGTGCAGCTGAGAGCTGAATCCAGGGCTGTCTACTGCCCAGCGCTAAAGCTCTTTCCAATACATTCTGCTTGGGCAGTCTTCTTGTGCCTGTTTCAGGAAGTAAAATAAAAAAGAGCCCAAAGGGGCTCCTGCATCTCACTCCTGGTCGATTTTTAGCAGCAATGCTATCAAAGCTAGATATGAGGAGCTCTTCACCTAGGGCCTCAAAACCCACCGAGTCCCTAAATCAAATTTTGAGTGTATGTGGATACTTGTGGGGAGGAGCCCGTAGCTCTCAGCAGCTCCTCACAGAGGGGGCACTGCCTGCAACCCCATCCTCAGCTGCACTTCACTAACCCTAATGAACCCAGACATCCTCTCTGGGCAGTCCTCTCTGTTGATCTTATCTGGAGGCTTCTCCAGGTGAGTCAGTTGTCCTGGGAGGCCCAGGAAAACTTGCTTCATGAAATGAACTTGATTCTGACCTTCCCACTGGCAGGATGGGGGTACCTGCTGCTCAGCCCCTGTGCCTGCAGCACTCTTGCTCAGAGCCACTTCCTCATTGCTGCCTCTGCAAGGCTTCCTGCTGAGCCCAAGAAGAGCCCAAGTCCTGGGCTGGGTCCCTCGCGGCGTTCTGCCCAATGCCAACACCCCATCGGCAGGGCCGGCTCCTTTGCTTCTTCCTGGAGCTTTCTGGGTCCGCTTACTCAGCTAAAATCTGTGTCTCGGCCACTAGGCTGTGAGTTCCTCTAGGAAGATGATGCCTCACTCGCCCTGGACATTCAGTGTACTGGAGGCCAGGCCCAGCACTTAGTAGGCGCCAACAAAATACTGTGCAATGAATTTACGACTAAACGAATGCCAATCACACTGACAGCTATGCTATCTAACACTGTGACTGCAGCAGTAACAGGAGCCAAAGCAGTGGTTTTCCAACTTTTTTTGGGGGGGTGGAGGGAGACAGCAGAATCCTTTTTTAAAAATGTATTGTATCTGACCCCCATGTATCTAAAGCAGATAAGCGGGAAGTGCTCTCCCTGCGTGAAGCAATGAAGCAGCAGTGTTCCCTCCAGCCTGGCCTCTCTGGGTCCCCTTCACTCACCCCCAAGCTCCTCTGCAGAGCTGCTGAACCACTAGGCTGCAGAAAGACCACTACAGTCACCACAGTCACAGCTCCTCTGAGCCTTAGTTTGGGCCTGTCACCAACCTCCAGCATTGCTCTTCCCTTTAAAAGGAACAGACACCCACCCTGAGAAACGCCATCTCCTAAATATACCTGGTGAGGCCTCCTTGGGAAAACACACTTCTACCATTCATCCAACAGCACCGGCCTAAGGGAGTAAGTGATAGGTACCAATCTAGGTTCACCACAGCCAAAGTAAACAGCTTCCCAAGGGTCTTATCTAGTGTGACACCCAACCAGTCCAGCCCCATCATCTTTCACCCTGCAAGGAGCACAGGCCCGGCCCTTGAAGCCTCTTGGTAACCAGGAGACATAGATTTATTTGGCAAAAACCTCACACACCACTCCCAGTCATCACTGCTCTCCCTGCATCACAGTCCCCTGCTTTCTGCCTCTTGGGCTACACAGATGCTCTAGTCCTCCAAGAGCCTCCACCGAAGTCCCCACCCCCAGCCCTGCTCCTCCCTTGGGCTACAGTTCCCTCATTCCGCTTTGCTTCTGTCTGAGACTGTTGAAGACCTTTAGACTTTCAAGTAAAGTCTTCTCAATTTTAAACCTGGCTCAGCAACTAATTCACGGTAGAACCTCACATAAGTCACTTCCCATCTCTGAGCCTCAGTTCGCGCCTCTGTAAAGGCAAAGGCTTTACCTAGACCTCTGACGGCCACTCCAGCCTCTGGGTTCTAAGAATGAGGATGGCTGGCCCCATGGATCCGACGAAAAGCTGTTACACATCAGAACCAATGTCAGAAGAGCAGAAGAGAAAGTGTAGACCCTTAAACATACAGAAGAGCTGCAGAAGCTGAGAGAATGTATTCCAGAAGCATGTACAACATGGGAGAGTGGGAAGAAGAACTCTAGGTTTATAAAGAAAAAAACCAGCATTCACTGAGGGCCTGTTTGCCAGGCCTGACACCAGCTGCTCACACACACCAATCGCTGTGCATTAACTCCTGGCTTTGCCTCTGATGAGCTGTGCGACTTTGGCCAAGTCGGTCAGCTCCTCAGAGCCTTAGTTTACTTATCTGACAAACCACACAGGCAATGGGTGAGAACCAGATGAGAGAATGTCTGTGAAATCATTTGATAAACCCAAAGGAAGCATCCACATAAGGAGCCCGGGTCAGGAGAATGTATGACACTTGTCTGCTTGCTCAGTTACCAAAGCTTAGCTTGAACTTCCATGGCTAACCCATTTCCCAGTTTCCTAGGCGTTTGGCTTTGAGTATCAGCTCAGTATCAGGAGACATTGAACTACAAAGCATCTGCCTCCCCTACACAACATAGTCCTCTATGCTCAGACCGAATCAGGAGTCAGGCCACATAAATCTTGACTCAGAATCTTCCCCGACACCTGACTTCTGAGTGAAAAATCAATAGACCATGCAAAATGCACTTTGAGGAAGGGGGGCAAAACCATCCCCCTGGGTTTTACAAAGAGAAAAACAAGCTGCAACTTCTTACTGAGTTTATGCTTTTCATTTTTGGCTATCAACACTGGCCCTAGATGTCTTGCAGGGGGATATAAGGACCCTTGACCGTGGTGGGCTGACTGGAACTCCAAAAGGAGAGAGATCACCGAGGTGCCAGCCCCTCAGAACCAAGGCCAGGGCTGAAACCAATCCAGTGAAGGCCTCGCGACCCAGAGGAATGCCAGAGGCGACCTCCAGGAGCAAGTCTATACAGCTTGTCTGGTTTTCTTTCATTCAAACCACAAACTCCTCCTTTCTAACTAACTCCTTCCCCAACCACAGCTACTCTTAATCTCCAGAGTTAGCCCCTAACTTTTCCCCTCACCTCTCCCCTTCTACCTGTAACCACGGAAACCTCAGCCATCCTTCACCTGATCCAAACCACCAACCACATCCCAACCCAGCTCCACAGTGGGACCAAAATCCACCCACTTCCCTGGCAGAGCTACGACACTGTCACCCAACACGCCTACATCAGGGTCTTACAACCCCTTTGATTTAGGCCCCTCTTTTCCGTAACAATCCATGGGCTCCACCACCAACCTGACCTGTGCCACCAGTCACGTGACCCCCTTGCCCGCACTCAACTCAGGTCTGCTCTATAAACTCAGCGTGCTCCCAAGGCTTCTTCCCCATCATATAATTCCAGCACCTGAGTTATGCTCCCATAAACCCCCTGGGGCCTCTCCCTGACCTCTGGGTCACCCCCCTAACCCTGCTTACCTGCCACACTCCAAACACCTCTAAAACCCTCCATCCTCTCCCAGAAACCAGTCTATCCCTTCCAAGGACATTTAATATTCATTCATTCAACAAATATGTGTTAGGCACCTGCTGGATGCCAGGCACTGCACTAGGCACTGGAGATGCTGCCGTCCACTGAGCTAGCAGCTCTCCAAGAGTGTGGACATGGCCAAAGCACTTTTGTAATTCTGGCTGACCCCGTCCAATCACATCTAATACACAGTAGGTAAGAGCAAATGCATACTGAACACTCACTGTGTGCCAGGCACTGTTCTGAACAGTGTGTGTGCATTATCTCGTTGAACACTCAAGCAGCGCAGTGAGGCAGGTCCTATTATTCCATTTTACAGGTGAGAAAAGGGAGCCACACAGAGAAAGTAATAATAATTCGGCAGGAATGGGCTAGGCCCTGTGCAAAGCGCTCTACCTGCCTTACCTCATTTAAGCCTCATAGTGATCCCCGGAGGCAGGTTCTGGGAATACCCCCACTTTGCAGAGGAAGAAACTGAGGCTTACGAGAATACTGATCACCACATCCATAGCTAACATCTACGCCAGGTCAAGGACTAAGCACTTTTTCCAGCTTTAGCGCATCGAATACTCACACCACCCAGCGCGGCAAGTCCCCACTTCTCAGATGAGGAAACTGAGGCTGAGAAAGGCGCAACAACTTGCCCAAGGTCACAGCGTGAGGAAGCTGGTAGTCCCCAGGACTCGAACCTGGTTCTCTCCAACTCCAGGGACCGCGCGACTTGACCAAGGTCACACGTGAGGCAGCGGCAGGCGCGGTGAGTGGACTGGGCGCCCCGGCCCCGGCCCCCGCGCGCCCGGCCCTCTGCTCCGCAGCTCCGGGCCCCCAGCTCTCCTTGGCGCGGCCCGGAGCCCCTCGGCGCGCCCCGCGACCGGCGGCCGCCCGGC